TATTTCTACTAACAGTCTATTCAAGGGTATCTAGCCTTTGTTTTTATCATGCTTCTCAAAATTCTTCCAGCATGTGCCTATTGCACAATTTCAAAGCCACTTCCACGGGTTTATTTCTTACAGCACCTCCCACTTCCATTTATCAAAACCTGTTTGGTTTCCTATTGCTGCTGTAGCAACTCACCACAAACTTAGTGGCTTAAATCAACACCAATTCATTATCTCACATCTCTGGAGGTCAGAAGTCCAAACAGAATCTTACTGGACTAACATCAAGGTGTCAGCTGTGCCGTATTCCTTCTGGACACAATGAATGAAAATCTGCTTTCTTACATTTTCCAAATTCTGGAGACTGCCTACATTCCTTTGCTCGTGGCCCACTTTTATCTTCAAAGCCAGCAATGTCCAGGTCTAGTCATTCTTCTTTGCCTCACTCTGACACTAGCTATTCTAGCTTCTACTTTCGCATTTAAAGGACCTTTGTGATTACACAAGGCCTACCTAGATCATCCAAGAAAATTTCCTTATCTTAAGAGCAACTGATTTGCAACCTTAATTCCCCCTTGACAAGTAACACAACATATAATCAGGTTCCTAGGATATGAACATCTCTGAGGGACTATTATTAACCCTGCCACAATATATACTGCATAATGATAAACTTTCAATTCTTCTGTATAAATATGATGTACCATGTAACCTGATCCATGATATCTTCATCTGCTTCATTTCATATCACAATGCTTAGGTTTCCACCACTCTGGGTAAATGCACTATGCTCATTCGAGGAAAAGATCTTTGCTCATGCTGTTTCCTTTGCCCGTGTTAGTCCTTCTTTCTGAATTCCCACAGCTCCTCTTCCCCAGACTACTCTTAGGTATCCTTTGGCTATCAGCTTAAGTGATTCTTCTTCAAAGAGCTTCCCTGATCCTACAACTCCCTAAACAAGATGTAGATTCTCTTACATCCTTAGTTTTTCTTCATATCATTTATCTTAATAGTGATTAAATTATTATCTGAGTAACTGTTTATTTAATGACTACTTTGAAGGCATTATGAAAGTTCTAACTTCATTTGTTATATGCCTAATACCTAGCAGAACAGTAACTGCACAAAAAATTCTTCATAACAACATTAATTTTATAATTGATACTGAAGCTCATAGAAATTAACTTTATGACAGAAACACAAATAATGAAATTCCACTTTTCTATCTGGTTTTTAAGCCCGCCTCTCAGCTACCGTGCTATTCTATTCTAATGGGGCACCAATGATCACTGTAAGTCCACAGATACTCTCTGATCTTCACTGAAGGTCAAATATTCACTGCCACTCACTCTCCTTATGCAGTTGCTGCTGCCTCATCAAGCCAATGACCCACCACCAAATGTCCAATTTCATTCTTATTTTCAAATACTGTCATAAGGATAGACTTGGGAATTCTTTTTTCCTTTAAAATATTAAACTTCTTTAAAAATAATTACTAAAAAATTTATTTTTCAAATTACCAAATCAGGGGGGAAATATGCTTTTATCTTATCTACTTCTCTTGTGGAGATTAACAGTATTATAAAAATATGTGGACACCCCAGAAGAAATTTTATTAAACCAAAGAGGAAATGATCTAGTTTGGGAACACAGCCAGGGCAAATATTAAAACAAAAGATCTAAAAGTCATGCTAGAAAGTCCTAGAACTATGCTTCTGTATACTCTTATTCTTGGTCTCTTGCGCACAAAGAGGAAAGAACATTACTGTGATCATTATCTTGAAGAATACTCCCTTGACTTTAAACAAGGTTGGTAGAATTTTACTTATAATTGCACAAGCCCTCAACATTTCAGAATTCTTCAGCATCCAGTCCTCCATTTGCTAAAAACATATTTTTGTGGCTTAGTCAGATTACAGCTAGAAATACATGGAAGATCTTGATACAGATTCTAAATTGTTGCCTGTTCACTTGTTTCTTTTGAAAATTATTGTCATTGGCACAGATCAAAAGCCACATGTATCAATGGGTGATCTAAGTTAGTATCTTACTACTTCAATTTCCAAAACAATTATAAACCAAATATCAACAACAAAACAACTTTTGTATAAACATCAGATATAACTTTGAAACACATTTCTTTGTTTTGTTATAGATATAATAAGTATTATTATTAAATAATAGTAGATTCACATTGCATGATAATTTACAAAAAAGTATTTAGATTTGAAAAGTACCAAATTACAAGCATCTTAAAAACCAATAAAGAGAAGAATGAAGTACCAAAATATTAAATGAGCGAAAGTCATTGGGAAATTATATGCTGAGATTTCTTTAAAGACAAGAGACAAAAGACAATATGACTACAGAACAAAACTGATGGTTCGAAAATCTCTCCCATCTATTTAGAACATATCTGACAGTACAAACTAACTTATCTGCTAGGTTTATGTGAAATCTGAGAGCATCTCACAGGTTTTATAATGTGTTACTATCCCTGCTGTGACATTTTACAAACTATACAAAAATATCTGCAGCACTCTCAATTCACTATAAAACAAATCCATAAATTCTTTAGAGATTGAAAGCTTTTGTCTTTCTAAAACTCATGAAATCCCAGTGAAGCAACAGGAGTCAGAACTGACTTCTTAACAACAATTTCCACATTCTAATTGCAGAGAACAGAACTTTCCAAGGTAATACAGAACTATCAAGCAGGCTCAAACACCCACCTGCTGTCAATTTTAAATTCTCAATCTGAGAATAAGAGAAATCATTAGAGCATAATAAACACATTAGTAACATAAGCCTACTCAGAACACATGCATGTGTGCAAGCTCACTCACTCAGTCCTGTCAGACTCTTTGCAACCTCATGGCCTGTAGCCCGCCAGTCTCCTCTGTCTGTGGAATTTTCCAGGCAAATATACTGGAGTAGGTTGCCATTTCCCACTCCAGGATATCTTCCCGACCCGGGGATCAAACCCATAGCAGGCAGATCCTTTCCCACTGTGCTACCTGGAAAGCCCCCACCCAGTAGAAAAAACTTGCTGATTGATTGGCTATATGAAATAAGGTTGATAATTAGACAAGAAATAAAACTTTGCATCTCCAAATCTCTTAAAACCTTGCTTCTTGGGCATTTAATCTTTCTAAATATTGGTCTTGATACCAACACAGAAACAAAAGCACTTCATCAGTGTGCACGGATACATAGTAACTATGGACAACTCATTCGCAACACAATGCCTATCTTGAACAACTGACAATTTAAATGAAAATGAATACTAAACATTTCTTTTTAAAATTAACCAGAAAAAGATATTGGTGCCTTCTATTTCCGAGAAATTGTCTAGCATTAGAACATAAAATGCGCAGTCCTGAAGGTTTCTATTTGTGACAGCTCAGACACTCTTCAGAGAAAGCCAAGAAGAACACCAATATAATTTAAAGGACCTTTGGAAATTTTAAGGACACTTCAATGCCATTTATTTATTTGGAGCTTTAGCTTCCATAAAGCTTTCTGGTTACTCAGTTTGGCAGTCCTGAAATAATTCTGTTTCCAGTTCACAGGGATTGAAAAATCAGAGATTGAAAAAAAACAACAGGAGAAGAAACAAAAAAAGGAGTTTAACCCTAATGACACCTTTATTCCACTCTGTGAATTTTGCTGACAGTCTAATCTTATTTCCTTTATTAGATTTGGTCATTGTTTTTAAAGGATTCAATATCAATGTCACACACACACACTCCCCACCAAAGGAAAAAAAAAAGACCTTTAAGTAAATAAAATATTATCACAAATATCTGTCATAATAAAAACATTTAGTGGGTTCGCCATAATTAAAAGAGAAAATTACATTTAACATATTGTAAGAGTAAACTTGTTTTAAATAAATGCAACACAGGTCAGTTTCCTCCTTTTCCAACTGTAAGCTTTGGTGTTACTGTCCATGGTGACACATACTGGCTATATTGAGCAACAACACCTCTACAGCAACACTCAAGTTTTATTTTATGCCTATTTCTTGGTGGTAATTTTGCTGAAGTTTTATTTTGCATATCCAACTCTTTATTAATTATGAGTTGCCGGTTTTTGCAGGCACAGCACCAAAATCACAAAAGAAAAATCTGGGAGGGGTCGGTCCATCACATATGTTAAACCAAAGTCCATTTCTCTTTTGCCTTCATCTGTACTTCACCATATGGGAAGCTACTCTTTCTGTATGTGTTTAGCTACCTTTTAGAATACTCATGTTACAGCATCTCCCCAAAACCAAGAAACCTTCAAAAGTGTTGGTGAATCAACACTGAAGGCTTGATTCATTGGAGTTTGCTTCTGACTACCTAACACAGGTAAATTTAAATGCAGACACGTGCATAGCCAGTCCATTGACTTCAACAAAAACGTTTTAAAATCCTGAGTACACAATTAACGGTGAGACAAAGAATACTGTAAGAGAATATTATTTCTTTTCTCTTGTTATCGATGGAGAAGAATCGTTATCTTTCAATGAGGAATCTTAAATATATTGTTTGTGACATACAGTGCTTAAAACTATTGAAATATTTAATTTTCCCACAAAGCTACCCACATAAAGAAATTCGTCCACAACTGAGCACCATTGTACCTGAAACTTTCAGAGAGCAATGTCTTAACTAAGATTAAGCTACCCTATTTCCTACCTAAATCAATTTCACCCAGATGAGGTGTTTGTTATAATTCATTGTTCCCCAGACTCCAGAATCAACCATCTGCCATCGGAGTTTCTGCACAGTAATTAAGGAACTATCCATTAGACTGGCCAGAGTACAAAGTAAGGAAGAGGAGGGGCGGGAGAAGGGAGAAACAAGCCACTAAAAAGAGGTGGAAGAGATGTGTATTTCACACTGACCCCTCCTCGTCTCAGCTTGGATACTGTCATCCATGAGGCAGAAGAGAAGTTAGGAGGGGCGGCCAGGCCAGCTCCTCCCGGGGTTATCCGCGCTGGGGACTAAGCAGGCTCCTCATACCTTGAAAGAGAAAGGCTTTCGTCCCATTGTGCAGACCGGGGACCTGGCGCACTCCGATCGTGGACTCCCCAAGTTCTAACTCCGTTAAGACGTCAATCTGCAGGGAGGGGTCCACACCAAGACCCCAAACTGGTGGGAGTGAGGAAGGGAGGAGAAAAGAAAGAAAAAGCTCCATCAGAATGCAAGCCTCTTCTTTCAGGGCAGCAAAGAACAGCGTCTTCGAGACAGTATTGGAAACTGACGGAGAGGCGACTCCCTCCGCCGCCGCCGCCGCGGAGAGCCTTACCTGAGACCAGCAGCCCAGCTTTAAATAGCGGAGGACCCAGTCCCATTTCCGTGACCTACTTCAAACCCTGCTCGGTGCAAAGTTCCCCTCGGCCCTCAGACCCTAGACCTGGGCTGTGACCCGCCCTGCGGTCTCCAAGACAAGCACAGGGACAAAAAAAAAAAAAATCCAAATCCAAACCCACCCCCGACTCCAAGCTTCCCACTCCAGACCTACTTCAGGTGGAGGGAAAGCGAGGCGTCCCCAGGCAGCTGGGGCTGCCCCGAGGTGGGAGCCATCCCTCTCCCGCCCCAGTTCTGCGGCCACTCACCTGCTCCGAGACCGAAGAGCAAACAGAACGTTCTCAGTAAGACCCGAGACTCCATGGTGCCGATCTGCTCAGTCCATCGTCTCCCTCTTTAAAAATAAAAATCGAAGAGGTTCTTGGAATCAAGCGGGAAAAAAAATATTGCTTGTCTTTCCTGCCGCTGGCTTGGATTTACTGATTAGTAAGATTAGTACGATTTGGTTGCTAAGAAAAAAAAGGGAGGACCCCCCAGGCACGTGAAGAACTTAGACCCTCCAATGCGCACATCATTCCCACACGCAGAGCCCAGGCGGCGGGCGCGGGTTGGGACGGGGCCCGGAGGGAGGGGTCGGCCTCGCCGGGGGCTGCTCCGCCGGGAAATTAGCTCTTGGGCCGAATCAAAGCGACCGAAGGAGCACACTCCCGGAGGAAAGCAGGCCGCCCCAAGAAAGCCGGGTCTGGGGCGGCCCCGCACCCGCCAGTCTTCCCCGCCGCCCGAACCTGTTGTAAAGGCAGAGACAATGGAGAGAGCGCCGGGAGACGCGCGGAGAGACTGCTCCTCGGCGAGGGAGGGGCGGGTCGGGGAGGCGGGGAGAGGAAGAGAAGGGAGGGAGTCCGAGGGCGAGGCCCGGCGCCCCGCGTCCCTCTCCCACGCGGGCTTCTCGGTCCCCAATCCCCGTCCAGCGGACCCCGGAGCCGCGACAGCCTCCGCCGCGTCCTCCCTCTCTCGCCGATCCCGGCTACGCTAAGCTCCTTCGGGATCGAAAGATCTTATTTCAAGGTGCTAAGTTGATGGGCGGTCTTTGCTCTCACCCCTCAATTTTGGGCGCGTGTCTAGAAAGACAGACGGGGAAGGAGAAAGGACCACCCAACTGCAGAAGGCGAGGCTAGCTGGAGACGCGCTCGCCCGCCCTTTGGGCAAAGGAGGGAAGCGCAGCCCCGCGGACTAGCGAAGGGAATCCCTCTCGGAGGTTTGCGGAGGAAGACTTCTAAGGCAGCTGGACTCCGGCGGTGGGGCTGGAAGTAGGGAGGAACGGGCGGAGACTGGTGGCGAGCCTGGGAAGCCCTGGGAGCTCCGGGGGAGAGGTTCCCTGCCCGGGGCGGGGCGCTGGAGAGCTTCCCCGCGCGGAGAGAGCAGGGGAGAACTTAGCCGGGAACTGCTGGACAGCTCCGGGACCTGGCGCGCCCCCTGCCAAACGCAGCGCCCAGCCGGGCTCCGCTTCTCCAGGACAAGCACACGGCATGAGGCATGGGCAGCAAAGCCAGGGTGCTTGCCCATGCCAAAAAGAAGAGAAAAATGATAGATCGATAGATAGATAGAGGTCCCTTTAAATTTTGAAGTAAATTTTGAATAATGACATTGAAGTCCCATACTGAGGAAGTTGCAAAAGCGAATAAAATGTTAATCTATACAAAGGTCAATTGAGTTTCTTCATTTTTCCATCCAAACAAGTAGACTCTGAATTCTCGAAAGGAGCCTACACAGTTAGTTACCAAAATACCTACTGGGTAGAGTCTGAGGTTTCAGCAGGGCAATATATACTCTATTACACTATAACAGGAGGAGGGCACAGCAAGCCACTGCAGTATTCTTGCCTGGAGAATGCTATGGACAGAAGAGCCTGGTGGGTTACAGTCCGTGGGGTCGCACAGAGTTGGACGTGACTGAAGCAACTTAGTAGCATACTATAACAGGATGAGTGGGACATACTTAGCTCTGTCCTTGGAATTTTTAAGGGAAAAATATCAGAATCTGGAATTTTTCCAAAATAAGTTTAAATGATCTTTCCTTATCAGTTTTTTCTGTTTGATTCTATTTCTAATTTTGTAAACTTTTGAGAAGTAGATCTGTACTTAAATGTGATGAAGTATTGCTTTATGTAACTTCACAACCTTGCAAAACTACACAAAATGAAATTAATGTAACTGAATTGAATTAATTCAAAGGAAATTATTCATCAGGAAATTAAACATTTTTCTATAGCAGTACAACCAAAGTAATGAATTTTAACAAGTATTTACAAAAGTGACATTAAAAACTGAAAGATAAAATCAGAGGAAAAAATAAATATACATATACAGACATATTTAGAGGAACCAGAGATCAAATTGCCAACATCTGCTGGATCATCAAAAAAGCAAGAGAGTTCCAGAAAAACATCTATTTCTGCTTTATTGACTATGCCAAAGCCTTTGACTGTGTGGATCACAGTAAACTGTGAAAAATTCTGAAGGAGATGGGAATACCAGACCACCTGACCTGCCTCTTGAGAAACCTGTATGCAGGTCAGGAAGCAACAGTTAGAACTGGACATGGAACAACAGACTGGTTCCAAACAGGAAAAGGAGTGCCTCAAGGCTGTATATTGTCACCCTGCTTATTTAACTTATATGCAGAGTACATCATGAGAAACGCAGGGCTGGGAAGAAGCACAAGCTGGAATCAAGATTGCTGGGAGAAATATCAATAACCTCAGATATGCAGATGACACCACCATTATGGCAGAAAGTGAAGAGGAACTAAAAAAACCTCTTGATGAAAGTGAAACAGGAGAGTGAAAAAGTTGGCTTAAAGCTCAACATTCAGAAAATTAAGATCATGGCATCTAGTCCCATCACTTCATGGCAAATAGACAAGGAAACAGTGGAAAACAGTGGCTGATTTTAATTTTCTGGGCTCCATAGTCACTGCAGATGGTGATTGCAGCCATGAAATTAAAAGACGCTTACTCCTTGGAAGGAAAGTTATGACCAACCTAGACAGCATATTAAAAAGCAGAGACATTACTTTGCCAACAAAGGTCCGTCTAGTCAAGGCTATGGTTTTTCCAGTGGTCATGTATGGATGTGAGAGTTGGACTGTGAAGAAAGCTGAGCGCCAAAAAATTGATGCTTTTGCACTGTGGTATTGGAGAAGACTCTTGAGAGTCCCTTGGACTGCAAGGAGATCCAACCAGTCCATCCTAAAGGAGATCAGTCCTGGGTGTTCATTGGAAGGACTGATGCTGAAGCTGAAACTCTGTAACTTTGGCCACCTGATGCGGATAGCTGACTCATTTGAAAAGACCCTGATGCTGGGAAAGATCGAGGGCGGGAGGAGAAGGGGATGACAGAAGATGAGATGGTTGGATGGCATCACCGACTCAATGGACATAGGTTTGGGTAGATTCTGGCAGTTGGTTATGGACAGGGAGGCCTGGAGTGCTGCAGTTCATGGGGTCACAAAGAGTCAGACATGACTGAGCAACTGAACTAAACTGAACACACACACAAAGGAACACAATATTGCCAATACCTTGATTTTAGCCCAGTGAAATCCATTTTAGATTTCTAAACTACAGAAATGTAAGATACTAAATTTCTGTTGCTTTAATCACTAAATTTGTGGTGATTTGTTTCAGCATTCAGAGAAAACTAATATAAATACTAACACATAAAGTTCAGTCACAAGGTAGCCTCTGCAAACCCTGTATTCATAAATATATCTCAGAGCTAAATAGAATTTCCAAGAATTTATTCACAGATGAACTTTAAATTAAAAAAGAAAGAAAAATTCCCAGATGCCAGGGAAAAACAGAGATAGCTGAAAACTGGCTGAAAAAGAACTGACTCAGGCAATGATTAGCAAAGGGTAGGACACAGGGTTTCAGATGCAGTACGACCCTCAAAACAATGGAGTAGAACTTTATCATCCACATGAGAACTAGAATCAATGAACTATGGCCAAAGCCAGAAGAGGTAAAGACGATACTGATCCTTTCAATAAGAATAGGGAGATTTGAAATATTATATTGTACATATATATACATATATACACACACACACACACACATATGTTGCATATCGACCCAAGAACAACAATGTTTGCCAGCTGCATGTGACTGTAGGTGGAAAACAAAGTATCTATCAGTTCAGTTCAGTACAGTTGCTCAGTCATGTCCGACCTTTTGTGACCCCATGGACTGCAGGATGCCAGACTTCCCTGTCCATCACCAACTCCCAGAGCTTGCTCAAACTCATCTCCATTGAGTCAGTGGTACTACCCAACCATCTCATCCTCTGTCATCCCCTTCTCCTCCTGCCTTCAATCTTTCCCAGCATCAGGGTCTTTTCAAATGAGTCAGTTCTTCGCAGCAGGTGGCCAAAGTATTGGAGTTTCAGCTTCAGCATCAGTCCTTCCAATGAATATTCAGGACTGATTTCCTTCAGGATGGACTGGTTGGAGCTCCTTGCAGTTCCTGGAACTCTCAAGAGTCTTCCCTGACACCACAATTCAAAAGCATCAATTCTTTGGTGCTCAGCTTTCTTTATAGTCCAACTCCCACATCCATACATGACTATGAGAAAAACGATAGCTTTGACTAGACGAACCTTTGTCAGTAATGTCTCTGCTTTTTACCATGCTGTCTAGGTTTGTCATAGCTTTTCTTCCAAGGAGTAAGAATCTTTTAATTTCATGGCTACAGTTCAGGCAGTGATTTTGGAGCCCAAGAAAGTAAAGTCTGTCACTGTTTCTGCTGTTTCCCCATCTATTTGCCATGAAGTGATGGGACTGGATGCCATGATCTTCATTTTTTGAATGTTGAGTTTTAAGCCAGCTTTCTCACTCTCCTCTTTCACATTCATCAAGAGGCTTTTTAGTTCCTCTTCACTTTCTGCCATAAGGGTGGTGTCATCTACATATCTGAGGTTATGGATATTTCTCCTGGCAATCTTGATTCCAGCTTGTGTTTCATCCAGTCCAGCATTTCACATGATGTACTCTCCATATAAGTTAAATAAGAAAGGTGACAATATACTTGTATATTGACATAAGCCTTGACATTTCCTTTCCCAATTTGGAACCAGTCCATTGTTCCATGTCCGGTTCTAACTATAAAAAATGTCAAATCTCAAGCCTTGACATGAGCACTAAAGTTACATCTTCACTGGTATAAGAAATTCTAAAATCAAAAATTAGAATAAAACCACCAGCATGTCCTGAGGAAGCAAATGTAAGAATTCTATTAGGGGAGCTTCCACAACTTCTGGCATACAAGAGAAAAAATTCTAATGAAGATATAAGCACAAAATAATAACAATTAATAAATTGCATTGAAGTAAAATACCATGAAAATCAGTCAGGAGGCAAACACATGTGAAAAAAGAGAATTAGTATCTCATGAACTCAGTTTATCAGAAAAGCATAATCAATAGTACTAAAAAATATATTTTAAATGATTAGAGTTTTTTTAGGCATAGAAAAAAATAATGAAGGTGCAGAAGTATATGAGTTACTATTAGGCAGATTTCAAAGGAAATCAAATAGAACTTCTAGAAATAAAGTAAAAGTGTCAATTGTTCAATCATGTCCAACTCTTTGTGACCTCATAGACTATAATCTCCCAAGTTCCTCTGTCCATGAAATTCTCTAGGCAAGAATACTCAAGTGGGTAGCTGTTCCCTTCTCCAAGGGATCTTCCCGACCAAGGGATCAAACTCAGGTCTCCAGCACTGCAGGGCATTCTTTACCATCTGAGCCCCCAGGGAAGCCCTCTAGAAATAAACATATATTTTAAAAATTACATTTTTAAAAGCATTGGCTACAAAAAGCAGCAGACAAAATAAAGATGGAAATTAGGAGGAAAATGTAGGAATAAAAAATGAGATCTGAAGATATTATTGAAAA